ATACTGTAAAAAGCATTATGAGAATATTCAGTATCGAACAACAAAAATCTCGCTAAAATCACGTAATTTAAGGAGCAAACATTTTTGTTTTGTTGTCAGTAGCAGTTAGCTTTGTATTCGTGAGGAATAAAATGAATTCACAGAGGTGAAGTTCTGAAAATTTTTCCTGTTTTCATACATAAATACTAGGGAAGCTTCAGTTTTAAAATTTCAGAAACTTCAACAAAGCACCAAATTGGCTGATGAACAGCAATATATTGTTACGAAATGTACGGGCGGGGTAAGATGGCTTCCCCGCAAAGCAGTTTTAGGGTTGCCACATTTGGCGAGAAATCGCACATTTGGCGACAAAATTGGTGATACGCCATGAACGGATGGAGAACCTTCTGGAACGAATTCTTACTGGTTTAGCCCAGAATGTCCTCGAACACAAGCCGAAAGCTATATAAACCCTGCTGGTCCGCAGTCAGTTAGTACGATACGGCATTAGCCGTGAAGTCCGCAAACGCACACCATGCAATCAAGAAATTACAGGAGCTTCTACCAGTGGTAGAAAAGTGGTGTACGACTTGGAGAATTGCTATTAATGCCAGCAAGTCGCAATTATTACTGATAAGGAGGAAAAATACACAGTTGACTATTAATAGAAGCTCCTCTTATTCTCTGAAGAGATTCCTAGGGTTAGTAAGGCGAAATATTTAGGAGTAATGCTAAATGAAAGATTAAAATGGGGAGATCATATAACAGAGGTCAGAAGAAAAATTTTCACTGTTGTAAATAGTCTCATCCCTTTATTGGGTAATCATTCTAGCTTAGACCTCAAGAAAAAGAGGCTAGTTTATATCACGGCAATTAGGCCATTGATGACTTATGCGTCGCCGGCCTGGTGCACGGCTACCAAGGAGGATATAAAAATACTTGCAAAACAAAGTTTTAAGGCTTATCACCCATGCTCACTTTTTTGTGAGCAATGCTACACTGCATTGTGACTTAAAACTGGACACTATAGAAGAGCACCTGAATAAGATCAACAGGAAGTTCTTCACGAAAGCTCTGACTGTGACCATATGAGAAATTTTGATATCTTTACCTACGAAATATTGAATGAGGACGCCAAACTGCGCCCACTTGCGGCCCACCTTAGCAGGGACCCGAACTTTCCCACCTAGTGCCCACCTGTAAATAATGTACCCAATGTGTTTATTAGCATTCTTAATTTTGTATCTTACTCATTTATTGTATTGTGTATTTCTTAAATTCACTAGTTTTATTCACATTCTACACTCATTTTATGACTCCCACTTAGTCACGCCTTTACCGGGCCGGTTACTTGCTAGTGAGCTCTTGCGTTGCTGGTCTTTCTATTCTTTATCCGTCTTTCTCCTCCTTACTGCGGACATTATGTGAAGATAGTTCTATGTTATTGTGCCCATCCGGCATAAATTTGATTGAGCCAGATAAACTACTGATCTCAGTGGTATTCTGGCTATAAGATATCAGTCAGTCAGTCAGTCAGTTAGTATCGAGTGTGTGCCTTGTCTAGCGAGCTGATAGTAAGTAATTAACGAGTTTCTCGAAGTCTAGCGCCGAGTTGGTGGTCGAATGCATCGAAAGAGTCTTGTAATGTATCGCGAGCGAATTAGTGCATCGTTGAAACTGTGTATCGTCGAGTGCATTGCGAGTTGTAGCGTGGAGAGTCTCGTCTCGAGAGTACGTGGAGTTCCGAGAACGACCAAGCAGAGTCGGAAGCAGTACTCTACTGCTTTGCAGTGAAGCTGCCTCCACCGTTATTACCTGACAGTGTGAAGGCTGTGTCGCTGAACGTGTCAGCGTGTTTATAACAGTTCGATGACTGTAAAAGTGATTTAGGAGCTATCTGATTAAATATTGGTAAATAAAGTGTGTTTCGATATTTCATCAAGTGTCGTCGTTATTCACTCCAAATCCATACGAACCCCTTACGAACATGAAGGAAGAAAATAACGTAACAATATCTATTTTGCCAAATCATGGCAGATTCAGTACCTTTAGTTTCATTAAAACGCTTCCTAATCTGTAAAATTTTATATTCTGGTATTTATTTTCCATAAAAATACTCGCACAGCTCTTTATTGCATCACAGAGCACAACCCGTAGTTACGGTTCAAGCTACTAGGAACGTTAAACACAACAAAATGCAAAGCGCGTCTAAAAGGCGAAGCTTTCACGGACATATCAAACCTTCGAAAACGTTCTGAACTGAGATGACTGGGAAACTGGTGTTCTCTTCAGTCTTATATAGCTTTTTGTAAGCCGCTGAGAAATTTCTAGTGCTTTTGGATATTACTGGAAGGTATATAAGGGCCTGGTAGCGTTACAGTTGCATAGAGGATCAATTGTAGCTATTCAATTACGATACCCATTACAGTTATACGGGGACCGCAACAGAATGTCGCCAAATATAGCCGAAGACAAAAGTTAGTCGCCAAAACCGTTGCCAGCTTGGCGATATCTCGCCAATTTAGCGACATAGCCATTTACTCAATGTTAAATAGACTTTGCCCCTGCGTTTTGATTTTTCCGGCAGAGCATTGTTTCTTTCAAGTAGTTCATATTATATTATACAAAAAAAAAAAAAAAAAAAAAAAAAAAAAAAAAAAAAAAAAAAATATAATTTCACTAAAATTGTTTACTTTGATACAAAATTCGTAATAATATGTATATATAATATATAATCCATCCTTTTACCCGGCTTAAAAGTCCTTACTCGGCCTTTATTTCCGCAATCGTTGGTCGTAGTCATATATTTCCAGTTACAGAAGTGTTTTTAAATGACGAAAATATTCATGTTTTGTCAATTGTAAATTTAAAAAAGAATTGGTTTTTCGACAAATAACGAAATATAACTTTCAATGTGGTCTTCGTTTCCTTTACTTATATTTGGAAAGTTTTATACTCGTTATGAAAATATAAAATTATAAGAACTTCCATATGATAAAAATTGACCGAGATATTTAATCTCAAAATTTTCAAATTTCGGATGTCATTTTGAAACCTCGAGGGATCGGTTAATTCGATAAAATAACTTTATGCAACAAAAATATGTGTAATTTAATAAACGGTGTGAAGGAGTCATGAGGTGGTCCGTATCGGATATTTTTAAATAAGAAAGGCTACTTTTTATCTCTTCTTAGTAAATATATGAATATCAGTCAGAATCTATAACATAAATACTTGTTATTTACACCATGAACTAGAAAATTGCATTTTTGCTATCGTTTTGGTGGAACTCCTCAAAATTATTTTCAAAAATCTTTGGATTTGCAGTTTTTCAAATGTGTAAGGCCATGTAATCAAAACTGGATTTTCATACCAAAGACAAACATTTTCTTAATTCCGAACACAGAAAATGCTGACAATGGGTAAATTGACAGAAACTGGTAGAACATGTCGTAATGCAAGAATTATACGAAAGATTATTTGAGATTAATATTCATTGAATTTTCAACTAGTAACTCACTTTTAACTCATTCCGAAATTGCGCCAGATGGTAAATACATAAGATCTTACTTTTACGTTTTAAATTTATACTTTTGTATATGAAAAATATCCTGTTTGATGAACCAGATGAAGAACTCTTCTGCAACATCACAGATGTTGGCTCTTGTATCCTTATAAAGAATGGGCCTGACAAGTGCAGAAATGCGCTTCTTCTAAATGAGCCCTACCAATAGACGAGAGGTTAAGCCCGTCGAATAATATTAATCCGACGTAGGTTCAAACCCAAGCGAAAGGATTGGCTGCATGGTTGGTTTTCGTGGTTTTCTTCATGTGTAATTGCCTAAGAGTCGATTTTCTTTAGAAAGTCCTCCACGAATACATCTTTCCCTGTAGGCAGATAGCCTTCGTGCGCTTTGTCATATTCAAATAGCCTAACCTAATAATAGAAAACTGCTCAAAAATTAGAACTTGAATTTGAAGAAATTAAAGTTTACCTCATTCGTCTTACAGTCTCGAGCTTACTCCTTTTTATTATTACAAGTTGTAGTCTTCAGTGTTATGTTTTCATGCGTGTTTTTTTTTTTTTTTTTTTTTTTTTTTTTTCTGTTTGATAATTTGAAAGCTTGGCGTAATACCCTAAAGTATAATATTGCCAAGCAACTGAACTTTTTGAAAAATATGGAAACAAGCCATTTAACATTGATATTTCTTTCCGATAACTTAAGCTTTCATGCAGTCTCACAAAAAACCATTTCTGAGAGTGCTGCCATTCGGCAAAGCACAAAATCTTTAACTGAACTTTTAACTTTAATCAATCCGTAATTATTTAATCAACTGAGCGATTTAAAAGTAGAAACCACTCCTCTTGATAATTTAAAACCTATTTTGTATCAGAAATAAATCTTTTAAAAATATATATTTCAATATATTCAGTTTATGATAGATATAATAAAATACTTTTATGAATATTTTACTAATATATTAAGTCATACAAAATATTTATGCTACCTCATAATACGCACTTGAAAACAGAATTTTCGTGTATTTCTTTTCTTTTCGCTCGATATATTTTATTATATATTTTACTGATATAATTTATTATATATTTAAATTATATAATTAATACACCCAAATGATAAATATATAAATAATTATAATATATGTCATTATTGATAAAAGGATGTTTTTAAGACCAAATATCATTTACATCGGAACATGAAATTGTTTCATTTTTATAAAATAAAAAAAAAGAAACCTGTGTTATCTGAACGAACCTGTGTTAACTTCGCCCAAGTTAATTCCCATAAACTATGTTCTACTGTATTTAAATTAAATCCGTGTAGTTATTTTATCCATAAGAAACTCACTAATCTACTTTTAGAAAATACTTATCGAATTTACATTTTATCGAGTTACGTTTGTTGAACTTCCTCGAAACATTGCGAGAGGGCGCTTTTTCCAAAATAAAGCCGATGGCAGATAGTCCTTCTGACAATGCAATGGTGATACTTTAGTAACGAAATGGGCAACAATTTCTTTCTCTGTTCCTTTTATTTCTTTTGTTTAAACCTTATGTTTTCAAGTACCTTCTTATGTGAATCTCAGTAAGACTTTATGATTATTCTTATGTTCTATAGAATGTTTAATTTACATGCATATAAATGTAATTTTATGCTAATTATATTAATTTAATAATTTTCAAAATAATGCTGTTAATTCAGGGCTAATAATCTCGAATTCCACTGTTCCTTTTATTTATTTTATTTAATCTTTATGTTTTCAAGTACCTTCTTACGTGAAGCTCAGTAAGATTTTATGATTTTTCTTATGATTTTCTTCCCATTCTTTCTTATGAGTTTTTTCTGAGATTTCTTATGATTTTATGATTTTTTTCTTTCTTTTATGATTTAAAATGTTTAATTTACATGTGTATAAATAGAATTTTATTCTAATTACGTTAATTTAATATTTTACAAAATAATGCTATTATAAGATAATCCTCCTTTTGACCCCAAAAAGGCTATTTGTCTCGAAATGCGATTATGCGTTGTTTCACTTAATTGAGTTATTTTACCTTTTAAAGGTACAGAAGATATATAATGTTCCCATATTAGTCTAAATGCATATTCATCTAATATCCTTTAAAATGTTTCGCTGTTCCACCTGGGACATCTCTATCGATTGTCTCTAATGATAAACCACATTAAATTTTTAAAGAGCCCTTTTCGCCGCTCGTTAAATGAGATTTTTTCAGTCTTTTCTTAGTTATGAAACCAGTGTTCTGTTTTCTCAATAGCATCATTAATTTTTATTTTATTTTTCTTTACTTTCTTTGTTTCCGTTGTAAGGAACGCGCGGAAATTATTTCAGTAGCTTATGAAAATTATAAGTGATTATTATATTGAATAATAATTAAGCAATATTTAAAACTCTTGTCTAAGCCAGATATCAGCTTTTTATTTTTTATTTCTATTTTCATTTCTGCGTTGTATTTCAGCATTAAAAAACCGGAAATTACGATAAGATTAAAAGAGACCCAAGTTTAATAAATTTTTGAATTGATGTATCTCATTAGTTTTCGGCTCTAGAAATTTACTGAATAAAAGTAATAACGTTATTAACCCAAAGGAGCGTAAGCTCAGAAGGGCTGTTCGTTTTGAAACGGGATTTTGCGTTGAATTACTGCAAAAGGCTGAATCACTTTTCAAATTGTTGCTATCAAATATTATTGCCCTGTATTATTTTAAGAGAAATTAAGTAAAGGAGAATGTGCATGAATGCAGGTATGTTTCTCGCACTGTGAAAAAACGACGGTACTTAGAGCCATCAAATTTTAAATAATGTAACCCTCCGTTGGAACATGGGCAACTGGAAGCCCGAATTAGCAAGCGAGCATAGCTATAATTTCCGATATACAGCGCGGCGAGCAATGGCAACACTGTGCGGAATATATATATATATATATATCCAGCACGGGAGACTGTGTATCGGAAATTCTTAAGGTATGCATGCTGCTTTTAAATATTTTGTGATATTGCTGTTGAATTGAATTTTATGATGTTAAGTAGGAAGAACATGATATTTAATCAAAAAACGTAACACACAAAACATTCAAAAAACGCCCGTTTGGGCGTAATATAAGATCTGAAAGCTTTCGTATTTTATATTTTTTTATATATATAATTTTAAATCAAACGCTTTCTTGATATGCATAGGTTTCTCATTCCTTAGCGTATTTTATGACATTTTAGAATGGTAATAGGTTATAACAAATTGTATATACTTATTAAATAATTCAAATCATTTTTCAAAGCATATTATAGATAAAATGTTTTCAAAGAACTTCACAATCGTATTCTGAATTGTATAAATTTAACTTCTTTAAAGTAATAAGCAATACAAAACAGAAAACTCTGTTTATATTCTTCAATTTAACATTCCAATAAAACATTTATATTATGCCTATGAAAACTGTACAGTTCAGGATCTTCCTTCCAAATTTTCAAGATAGATTTAGTAATATAGTAATAGTATTTTGTTTCAAAATTTGATATTTTCAAATTTATTTTCAGGAAAAAACAGCATTTTCAAATTAAATAAAAATATTTCCTTACATCATAAAATCTAATATCAAATATAATGGTTAATTGTTACTTTATGGTAAACTCACTCCGAAATATTCTCATTTTTTAGAAGCGAGGAGCATTACAGATTTTCGTTTTGTACTCGTGCTCACTTTCAAACATGATATTCAAAATTGAGTCTCAGAGGAGAAACTGGAACCAAAGGGCAATATGAATTTCTGAAAATATATGTGTATTTTGTAAAATACGATTTTTTTATTTTTTAGAACGAATGTAAGCATTTACTGACTTTAAAAATGGAGTCGTAGGGCATTATGTAAAAAGTTAGATTACATAATTTTTACAAAACCGAATTATTTAATTTCAAAATGCCAAACAATGAACGGATGTTTCATTTAAAATAACTTTGTAACTGAAAATATATATCTACCACTAACAATCAAAAATATACGCCTCACAAAGTCTATATATATATATATAAAGATATATACTATGATTATATATATATATATATATATATATATATTATATAAAAAATTAATAAAATTGATTTCAGAATAGTGAAATGATACAACGGAATTGCAGAAAATGAAAATCAGAGAAATTCTTGAAAACCTTTTACCCTGCATATCAAAAACGCAATACAAATATTAGAAACTAAACGCTGTATTAATAGATGATTAATATACGACTTATAAAAATTTATCACAGAAGAAATTGCATCATTTTCGATAACTAGTAATTCTAGATTTAAGATGTCTCTGAAATTCTATGATAAAATTGTATGATAGTAAATAGTTCAAATTAATTCAAATGTATCATGGTAATTTAGAAGGAAAGGTTAAAGTACCTTTCACATCGCATGAATTAACAAATAAGGAATTTAAAACTACGAAAAGTTGAACCGCAGATATCATAAAGAACCTTAGACTAATGTTTAAGAAAATTTTCGTTTACCGGGAACTGTCTAGAACCGGGAAACTTTCGTTAAAAAATCTAAACTCTCGTGCTATTTACTATTTTTACCTTATGTATTTAACCTTAACAAATAATAATATCCTCAAGCGATAAAATCCGACAGGTAAATTATTTTTTTCATATTAGACTATAAAAATTGTACCATAGGTTTATTAAATTTTTCAAGAAATGGAACTCGGAGCAATTTAGGTATGAAAACATCCTGGAGTATTAGTTAACTTGTTCGTATGTTTTTGATTTAAATAAGTTACTTAGTTTATTTGCTATCGCGAAACACCTCAGGTTTAGCTTTCTTTGGGAGGGATATCTTCATAGAGAATTTGATAAAGTATTCATATTACATACAGAAAATTCTCGGAAATCCCACATAGCGTTCATCAGGAATCTTGCACTTCTAGAAATGCACCTTTTTATCAGAAATCTTGAGAAAGAGAACAACCCGGTAATATAAAAAGTTATAATTTATTATAAATGCTATAAAAGTTATAATTTATTGCCTGCAGACATCATATATAAAGTGATTCCCATTATGCCGTCTTTTCAAAGTTTTTACAAGAAGCATCCATGGCTGGATATTCGCCATCAGTGAACTCAGTTAATTTCGAAAAGCGCAATGGTAATTGGTAGTTGGTTATCGGGATGAGCATGCTACTATTTCATAAGCAGAGAACGTTTCGACGTACTTACCTGATGCAGAAGTGAGCTGCAATAATAGACCCGAAAAAAACAATTACATTAACGAAAAACAATTAATTACTCTGGCTACATTACAGTGCAAATGTTAGGCCGAGTCTAAAAGTAAAGTCGACTGAGATAGCTTGTCAGATCTGACCAACGAGCTTCTGCATTTAATATACTGCAGTTTAAAACTTTTCAAAATAGTCACTGAGCCCTGTTTCGGTTACGGGGTTTGGAGCAGATAGTTAGCTGCAACGCATATGTTGACGGCTGCTAATAGGAAATAGTTTGCACAACATTACCGAAATAATATTTTGATCGTTTGGCAAAAAGTGGCATTATGCGATGAGAAGAGAATTTTCTTGCATAAAAGGGAAGAACGAAAGTGTATAAAAACGAAATTTCTGAGAATAGATACCAAGGCAGGATTACAGCAAGCAGGCATGCTAATGTCTGCTTACTGTAACCCTGCCTTGGTGAAATCTTGCTGTAATCATGCTAGGACCTGAGGCATACGTTTCGTGTATGCCTTGCGCCTGATGTAGTAAGGGTATCATCAGGATTATACGCTGTGGTACAGTGTAAAAATTATGCCCGATTTGTTTGAGATGTATGAAGGAAACTTTGAATTAACGTCTTTTTTCTAAGTTATCAATAATTTAACTCAATTAAAATGGCTAATGAAGTCATAGCTTCCGTGTTCATTCTGATATTTTTATAAGGAATTCAAAGGATGCAAAGCAATTTCAAGAACATCTGAGAAGCACTATAGTCAGCATGATGGCAGAAATGTGTTGCAGCTGTACGGAAAATATTTTGAATATGTCACAGATGTGCTAGCTGAAAGTGGTGCATATTTTGAATAGTAAGTTGGTGATTATAATAATGTGATCAGACCATGGTTCAACGCAGTCAGTTTCGACTATTTTAGTTCTGCTCCTAAGCATGTTCTTACAAAAGAGAAGCTAAAAGAACCTGGAAAGATCTGTACCAGATGGATAGAATTGTATTCATCTTAGCTCAATCATTGCTATTCTGAAGGCTATACTTTGAGTGATTCCTTTTTCCTTATTTTAATTTGTTCTCAAATTATATAAATTATTACATTAATATTAGTTATTATTAAATAAAAATTAAAAGAAAATACTTAAAATTTTTTATTATAGCTCACAAATGTTTTTACTGTTTATTTAAAAAACTTCCCTTTTCGCATAATTTTGTATTACATACGGCGGCTGTATGTAACTAGATGGTACGAATCATACTTTAGTAAATCTAAACTGGAAATTCCATATAAGAGAATATGGAAAGTCATAACCCGCGGTTTTTTTCCTGGAGTAGATCTCGCTTTTATTTTGGTAAATAACAGCTGTATAAATACGAGTATCATTGCATTTAATAAAGAAGAATTTTTACTTTGCATGCCGTTATTTATTACATTAGAATATTATAAAATCGAAGTTCGAAGATTATGAAATGCTTTATAGTAAAATAGAATAAAGTTTTACTAACTGCATTACGTTTTCGTATACGAAAGGCAGAAGGTACTAAATAAGTTTAGCAGCAGATTGTTTCTTTCCCATTTGTCAGTCGAAACTACATATTTAAGAATTCAAACAATAGCTAATTTCAAGTATAGAAAATGATATGTTTGTTTTTAATTCTTTGTTTTTACAAAAAATTCAGATAAATGCTTGAAAAAGAAAATTAATTTCCTTATTAGCTTTTGAAATAAATATTATTTTCAGACTTCAAGAAGACGACGATCCGTGTTCTATTTTGATACCAAAAGGATACGAAAAATACAGAGCTCCTTCTAACAAAGGTATGTGAAAAACGATCAAGTACCTTATACATATAGAGGAATAACTATTCATTTTTCTTACAAAAAATTTAATTCTGTTCCAAAATATAACAATTTATAAATTTTCTCATACATAGGTTATTATTTTCTTAAGATTTCATAATTTAGAAAGCGTGACATCTCAACTCTTATTAAAGCCAGTTAAAACTAGTTGTTTTATCGTCTGCATATCAAAACGCTGAAGTCGTTTTCATTTACTGAGGGGACATTGTACAAAGAAAGTTGCTTCGAGGTGGGACAACGTTTTAACATTTAAATTGTTAAAGTTAGGTAAGTTTGCTAGCGAAATGTTAGAGATGATTTGAATAGTATATGGTGATGCATGGTTATGGAGAACACAAATGCGTGTGTAACCACTTTAAATGTGGGCGTGAAATGTTACTTTAAATGTGGAAGTTAAAGATCAACCAAAGATAGGGTAACTTTTTTTTCAACTTCGAAAATGAGGTTATGTGAAGAAAAATCGATGGCTAATTTTAATTAAAAATCTGAAAATAGGAAAGTTTGTACTCCAAATTTGCTTCGGGTTTTGGCAGAATTGCTGATAGAAAAGCTTGCTGTGATGAATAGCTGACTACTGCGATACAGGAAAACAATTTCTTAAAGTGTAATCGGAGATAAGATCTAATATCTACAATGGTATCACTGGTATCTACAGTGCAACCAAGAAAATAAAATACACAGTGCACAACTGAAAGGGCCGTCCGTCAGTTCCTCCATACAAAAATAAAAGCACGGCTGTTGAAATAAAAGATTAATATAATGCTGACTGCATTTTTGTATTACAAAAGACATGAATGTGTCCCTAAGTATCAATCAATTAATCAGTGTTCTTACAACGATGTGCAAGAAAGAGGTAAGACAAGTTAGAAGCGAACGTTTTGACGCTGAGCAATGGTTCCTTTTTGCATGGTAATGCCACTATATTTTACAGCACCGTGCGACAGTTTTGTAAGCATGCTTATGAGATGACATTATCAACTATTTTTTTCCTTTTGCAGGTCAGCCCATAAATGTTTATATTCAGCTCGACATTCTTGACATCGATGAAGTCAATGAAGAAACAATGGTAAGAAATCAATGCTTGTTTTCAATAGAGAAATAATGTGTTTAGCAAAATTGAATTTAGCATTTTTAAATAACTATTTACTTTAACTATTAGTTAAATGTATGCTAAAATATTCTAAAAAATAGCTCAAGTGATGAGCATTTAAACAAATAACCACTTTAATCCATGGAGGTAAGAATCATTGCTTCCTTTCCCCATACCTGAAGTAATTATTCCAGAACATACATTTTGAATATTATGGGACAAACCTTCTGGCAACTTAAAATGCAATTACAGAGCCTTTTCGTTTTTCCTCAATACCACTGAGTTGGCTCCGTAGTTATTATCAACACTCACCAACACGTTAAAATCAGACTTCGCAATTTCTTGCTTTAATTTCAAAAAACATAAAACATCGTTGGATGGACTATCACAGAACTTGTTGTTGGCGATATAGTAGAACGCAGTGCATTGAAACGCGCGGCTTATGAGGTTTTGAAAACTAAATTATTACCAAAATATTTTAAAACTGAAACGCTACTTATCAAATATAAGCAATAAGCCAATGTTTTTCTCAAAAATAAACCCTCTGGTTTATTGCCCCAAAACAGATTTTTCAAACAGAACATGCAATCGAGATGTCAGTCAATTTCTGTTTCAGCTACAAAAGCTGAAGCGTGGAACACTGCTGAAGAAGCACACAGTATTAATCAAGGCACCTTCAATCAAGACGATCCTGTCCGCTGTACGCTGTATTCAAGTTAATTTACACACACTGGCCAATGAATTAGAAATCTTTGAGATTTCTTTTTGACTGTGTGCTAGGGATGAAGTATGCACATTTTTTTTTTTACGTGGCTTACACGTGGTTGGAAATAAGTATAAGTAAGTGTAAGCGTGCTTTTCACGATGAATGAAGTAAAATGGGGAAAACTACAGATTTTTAACTATTTGAAAAAGGGCTTTTTGTTGGTGTCCTTTTAGCTGGAGCCTCGATTTCGAAGACAGTAAATCTCACTGCGTTCTCAAAAGCAGCCATATCAGAGGTTTACAAAAGTTGGAATCAGAATACACAGTCTTCTATAGAAAACATAACTGCGGTTGGAGCACAGTTTCCCAAGCGAGTGAACGCCGTCGTCTCCAACAAATTGTATGGCAGAATAGACACTCTACTATGCTTCATCTAACACAGATCGTCAACCAAGGCTCTTCCCAACAGATTTCAGCTCGAAGCATGCACAAAGAATTGCAGAGGATAGGAATGCATTGTGGGGTTCCTGTGAGAAAATCACTTATTTCTGTCCGACATGCAAGAATGCGTTTGCAGTGGTGTCGAGAAAGAAGACACTGGACATCTGGAGGATTGAAAATGGGTAAAGTGGTCGGATGATTCACGCTAAACCTCATTTTGCACTGATGGAAGACGTCGAATTTGGCAAGAACCCCATGAAGGCATGAATCCATCTTGCCTTATTCGCACTGTGCAAGGGTCTGTTGGGAGTATCATAATATGGAGCATGTTCTGTTGGCATGGGAGTGGTGCACTAGTGTTTCTCCAGGGTAAACAAATGATGGCGATGGATACTTCCTAGAAGATAATGCAACTATGCATCGTGCCAGAAGTATTCAAAATTGGTTCGCTGAGCATCAGTCTGACTTCCAACACCTTTCCTGGCTACCGCATAGCCCGGATCTCAACCCCATAGAAAATGTGTGAGACATGGTAGAAAGACGCATCCGACAGCACTTTACATCTAATTTACAAGATCTAAAATCTTACATAGCCAATGCATGGTATTCTCGTGACGTAAATGCACCCCAGAAGCATGTAGACTCAATGCTAAAACGAATCAGAGCAGTTATCCGTGCAAATGGTGGTATAATAAAATATTGATTTGAAGTTTCTCATTCATTGTCCAGAGTGTGTAAAACGCACAGACGTACAAGCTACACAGCTAGTTGTGCATGCAATTCAACAAAATGCAGACTGTTTTCTAATTCAGAAACCTTAATGTAGAGAAAATCAAACCCCTAGCTTTCGTCACTTTTGTCAAAAAGTACACTGTACATTAATTAACGAACACGCACCAAAAGTCGCTATCATCTGCTGCAATCCTTTCTTGTAACCTATTACTATCATCACTAAAATAGATTTCGTTGCCGTCTTACTGCAATTAAATTCTTCTCATCTCACTCTCAGCTCTATCTGTTCTTTCACCTACGAATGACATCATCATAACTTTAACAGAAATATTAGATAGACCTTTCTCTAGATATCCTGATATCCCACAAATTCTTAGTGGAGAATTTAATGCCCACTAGTGCTATATTAGTGCCCACTGGTGCTATACTGCCACAAAACGTTCTGGGCGGCTATCCAGAAAGTAGAAGGACGAATTATTTTTTAAAAATTTATTCACAATTTTGACACATCGACTTAAAAGTTTTCAAAATATGCCCTTCTGGATCAGCACAGCGTTTCAGTGACTCTGCCAATCACTGAAGGCTCACTAGAACGCAGAAATTGGAATGTTCTTCAGCTCCCTCATTACTAGGAAAATAGCTCACCCCGTAGAATAATAACAGGACTGTAAGAGCAAAACTATTGTAATGTAAGCATATTACTATCCAGTTTGTATGTACTTGATAAAAATACTATTGTAAAGCAGTTTAAATGATATTGAAAATCCAGTCAATGTGTAAATGAATTACAAGTTTAATTTGATTATCTCAGTAAAAGTATTGTAAATATGAATTCATATAATGTTTAAATGTACACATAGCTGTCATGATTTTATGTATCTATCATATGTAAATTGTACAAGACAATGATTGTAATCAACATATCTATGCTTATACACAGGCCTTGTATGCCCATGTATTATTTATATGTATATTTTTACACGGAGAAAATTTTCCCTTCTGCCAGGATGACTATTAACACTGTAAGACTTTTACAACAAAGTCAGGTCAGTGGTTATCTCAGGCGGCGCTCAGCTCCCTCATTACGGCCTCTTGAATGGCTTGAATTGAGCCGTGGTGCCGTCCTTTCATAACCCTTTTCAGTCGGGGGGGGGAGGAAGAGGAAGAAGTCTGAAGCATGCCGTATATATACAGCTTTTGGGGGGGGCGATCAGAGGTTTCAAACATAGTAGTAATTAAAACTTTACCTTAGGTTATAATAATTATAACTTTAAAACATAATTTTAAACATTTAGGTGTAATTTTACTTGTAAATGTATAAGCGAAAGACCAGTTTAAATTGAAAATTTTAAATGGATTTGTATTTAGTCTAAGCACTTGCCTTATATTTTAATTTAAGTGATTGTAAATTTATAATTTGTGTATACTTTGATGTTTAATTAAGTTTAAGCGTTTAATTTAGTTTTATTATCTTAACTTTGTTATGTTCTAAATGATATATTTAGTTATGTTTCAAATATTATATTAAATTTCATTATTATGTTTATTTACTTATGTTTTAAGTGTATTCTGTTTGTATATATATTTATGTTATGTACTGTATACATTGTATACACATCTTATTCTCATATGTATGATATTGAACATTAAACTGTAAGTCCGCCGGTTGACGTAGGAGAAGCTCTTACTGAACTTGGATATCAAGTTGAGAACGTGATACAACTCACACGACGCAGAGGCCCGGACATAGTTAAAATGCCCTTGTACTTGGTCTTTCTCCCTCGTAACGACAAAAGCAGGACAATTCATCAGCTTGAATATTTAATGCGTCTCAGAGTGAGTGTTGAGACATACAAAGGAAGAAGAGGCCCTACGCAGTGCTATCGCTGCCAGGGTTTTTATCATGCACAAAGTACATGCAAACTCCCGCCTCGCTGTGTGAAATGCGGTGCCGATCATGAATCCAGGGAATGCACAAAACCCAGAGACGCATCCCCCACTTGCGCAAATTGTGGACTAGATCACGTCGCAAGCTATAGAGCTTGCAGTGCCTTTCCTAAATCTAAGCCGCAAAATAACAGACTTTACTCAGAGCGGGTTATAACTAACAGCTCCCAGATGCAAAGTTGCCAGAAATTCCGCGGAAATTTCGGAACTTAATCAAAAACTCACAGAAGCCAAAGAGGTGATTGCTAAGTTCACCGCTGCTCTAAATATGCTTAAGGACTTACAACCAACTAAATTGGTTGAAAATGTAGTCAGGCCTCAATCCAGCCAAAATGAATAATTTTTCTCGCAACTCGTATACACCGGTCAAAATCATGCTGTGGAATGCACAAAATGTAACTACGAAACTTCATGAATTCCAGGACTTTGTCAGAAGAGAGGATGTATTAGATATATGTTTAATCACGGAAGCTCATGCTATTCAGAATAAAAATCTTCGTACAGCAAACTTTACTTCCTTTAGATGCGATAGATGGCGCCACCGGGGTGAGTGTTGAGACGTGTTATCATTTACGTGAAAAGGTCGTATGAGGCGTGTTTGATTAAAACAGACAACTCTAAGGCGTTTGAAACGGTGAAGGTTCAAGTAAAGCTTCCCAGGCTTGGAAAAATTAACTTTTGTGCAATATATAACCCTCCAGACAATCAATTGACGGATAATATCCTTGATGAATTGCTTCTCAGCCAAGAAACCTGTATAATAGGGGGTGATTGGAACTCAAAACACGTGGACTGGGGCTGTCACAGTACAAACAGAAATGGCAAGGTAATTCATAACTATGTGTATAATCACCCAGTTTATTTATTTATCCCTGAAGAAGCCACCTACTTCTCGAGCATCCCAGGCCGGCGTCATGATATTCTAGACTTTTTCCTCTCAACGGATAACATCCCTATTTCCCTTGAGGTGCTTGCTGATCTTTCATCAGATCACGTTCCTGTTATAGCTAGAATAGGTGGAGCTCCCAAGACAAATCCAACTCCAAAGAAAATAGTGGACTGGAACCTATTTCACAATATCGCTAGTACATCGAAATTCAGTTTAGGTTCTCTTAAGACTAAACCAGACATTGACGCTGCAGTAAAAATTT